TGTAAGCCACTCCAGGCCTCGCCACCAAAAGTCGAAGTCCATCAGCTCACTCGGAGGCAGTCCTCTTGTTGCACAAGGTTCTCGCTAGTACCAACATGTCTCCAACATGCTTAAGACTGATCCAAAATGAAGAACCTGTTAGCGACGAAAGTCTTCCATCTTTCAAGCTTGCCACCTTTCCGCAAGAGCATTAGGAACCTCATCGTCCCAATCCAGGGCCGTCTGATTGCCGTCTGCATGCGTTTTCTTGGCCATGGTTACCTCTTTCAAAATTAACTTTCCCGAGATGATGACTGGCGCGATGCGACCCAGTGGATCGTCATTTTGGCTGGTATCTCAAAATTTGAAGTAGTGAATGTATTGGCTACATTACTTGCGCCGGGTCCTGTAGTGCCCCAGTTTAAAGGTGTCCGACTGCACTGATGCTCTATCGGAATCGAGCGGACAATAATCGCTGGACCATATCCGCAACTCCGTGCAAGCTGATTTTATTGCACCCTCTACCTGAGTCCGTTTATCTTGCCGCTCTTCTGTCGTATGCCCTCCGGAAAGAATGTCGTCCACGTATATCTCGTTCATCAACACATCCTTCGCCTTAGGACATGAACGCCGCTCATCATTCGCTAGTTGTTGAATGAATCTGATACCACGAAGTGTGCAGAAGCCGTTCCAAATGTTAGCGTTAACAATGGATCCATCCGCCGCCCGCCATAAAATCCGCTGATATTGGGCGTCTTCCCGGTGCACATCGATTTTCTGTATATCCTCACTGAAAACTAAACGATATTTCCGCCAATTGAGTATGACTGCCGACATGTCGTTCTGAAAGGTCGTCTCAGTCCAAAGAATGTCGTTTAACGATCGCCCGTTGCTAGTACTTGATGAAGCATCGAAAACGCTTCGCCGTTTGGTAGACTGAAGATCCTTCTTAAACAGCGTGATGCGGGAGTACACAAGATGCTACGTGCCTATTCGTGGCTTTCATTGCCCACCGCCGGCGCTATTTGCCCGAGCGCAAAGTATGCCTTTGCTTCACCTTTCTGGACTGATAGACAGACGTCTTTCCAGCTGCAGGAACCAATTAGGCACCATTTGATAAGATTTTCCTAGGACCATGATTGGATCCCGGTAGGTTTTAAAGGGCAACCGCACGTGAATCTTCTGGAAAACGGACTCGCACCAGAGATCTGTCTGCAACAGCGCACTCCTTCCGATCGTCCAGAGAGGATCCATCCGAAGTGCGTATTCTGAGCTGTGGGCTTGCCGTGCAACATGATCGTCCTTAAATGAATGACCACTTTAAAATGAAATCGACTCGCTTCGACCGCGCGTAGTGGGGGTGCGCCATTGAAAGCCCTTGAATATGATCCCAATCCTGTGTCGTGAAGCTTAGACATGGCAGACAGGAACCGAATTGAGAACATTTGCTGAATGAATACTACAGATTACGAAATTTACTGTGTACTTCCAACGAGTCTAACGGGTCACCTGGGACCCACCCCAAAAATTGATGCCTACAGGCTTTACTGAGATGCGTTCTCCAAGGCTGCAGGTGCACTAAGAGGCGTCGCTAAAGTCCAGATCGGATACTTGAGGATTGTTTATGAGCCCACACTGGGAAATGCAACAGTATATGATGGCGCTGTCCACAAACTTGGAAACTTTTATTGCTGGTGCAGCGTGATAGCGCATGCGATTTGATTAAGCAATTGGTACATCATTTTGCCCTGCTCACTATATCCTCCCTCCTGTAGCAGTTCAAGGCCAGAAAGGTTGCTTGAACGCGGTGGAATGCAGTCAGGCGTTTGCCTAATTGACCGTGCCTAATATAGACCGTATTAATTCTGAATTTTTCTTTTGCTGCCTGGGCAAATAGATAGCGTTCATGTGGTGCGAAATAACGAGGCGAGTACTATTGTACCTCTTAATCATCAGTCCATAATTTGTCTCCGTGAGCTGCATTGGTCGGATATGATTATCGCGCCCTACTGGCAACGACTCTTTGAGAAAGTGCAACCGTTGCACATTACCGACATTCTTGTTGTTGTGTATGAGGCTTGTGAAGGCGTCATAGTAGCCTGGCCAGTACACACATTCATCGGTAAATTAGGGAACTGACACATCTGTGCCATGTTCCGTATCGGCGGCCCCGCCCACTGGTGGTGGCGACGGAGGATTCTCGGATGGAAGTTTATCCAAGTCCTCTGCGATGGCGCAATGCGATAGGCATCCATATAACGCTCCTCGAATTCCGACTGGAAATTCTTCGCGACATAGTTCGATCCCGCGAACCCTTCCGAATCCGAATTAGTTCTTCTCATTTCTACTAGTTCTTCTCTAAATTCTCGTTTTCCTCGATTGCGAATCCTTTTTAAGATTCTGCAACGCAGCCCATGCTGCGCATATGTATCGCAGTCTTTTTTTCAGGCAATTCGCCGAGTCGATTTGCAAACTTTACGCAGCCGCGTTCTAACCTAATCTATTTACACTCAAAAACACAGTCGAATCTAAAGTTTTGCACTTGCAGGTTCCCCTCATGGTCCACCATGTATAGTAGTGTCCCCATGTATATTGCTAACAAGAGGTCATTGTAAGAGGGGTTTCCAGGCTAGAGTAAACACAGGTCGAATATAATAGGTTTTTTTGCTCTTTATTCAATGCTCTTTTTGCTCTTTATTCAATGCTTTATAAAAAGTGTTACAGTGATCGGATTTAGTTCAAATATGCGCCGTTTTGTTCGATAATCTGTTTCAATCTAGACGGCAACTTCATAATACCTCCCTCGTAGAAGCCCCCCTCCTTATTTGCGAAGAACTCGGACAGCCACTTTTCACAAGCCTCTTTTGAGTTAAACTTTACACCACCAAGGGCATTCGCCATGGACAGGAACAGGTGGTAATCACTAGGCGCTATGTCCGGGCTATATGGTGGATGCGATAAAACCTCCCATCCGAGCTCCCGTAGCTTCTGACGAGTCATCAACGAAGTGTGTGGTCTGGCATTGTCCTGGTGGAACACTACACCCTTCCTGTTGGCCAATTCTGGACGCTTCTGGTCGATCGCCTGCTTCAAGCGGTCCAGCTGTTCGCAGTAGATGGTAGAATTAAGCGTCTGGCCATATGGGAGCAGCTCATAGTGGATGATTCCCTTCCAATCCCACCAAACACACAGCAAAACCTTCCTGGCCGTCAATCCCGGCTTGGCCACTGTTTGGGACGATTCACCGACCTTCGACCAAGACCGTTTTCGCTTGATATTGTCGTATGTGATCCATTTTTCGACGCCAGTCACTTCCGCCAGTCACTTCCGCCAGTCACTCCGCTTCAAGAATGGGTCGAGTTCGTTCCGCTTCAGCAGCATATCGCAGGCGTTGATTCGGTCCAGAAGGTTTTTTTTAAATGGTTTAAAATGGTTTGGTGACTAACTCCCATCTCCTGGGCAATGTCACGAGATGCCACATGCCGGTCTAACTCGATGTATTCCATGATTTGATCGGTATTTGTCGTCACAGGTCTTCCGCCGGCTGGCTTATCCATGGTGTCGTTTTCACCGGCTCTGAATCGTCGAAACCATTCCTCCGCGGTTCGAAGTGATAGAGTACCATCCCCCAAAACACCATTAATCTCACGGAACGTTTCTCTAGCGGATTTGCCTTTAACGAAGGAAAACTTTAAAATAGCGCGAATTTCGGCGTTAGTGAACTCCATGTTTACACGTCTATAACTGTTGAACGCAATATCCAAACTAATCATGCATAGCGTCGTTTTGTAGGTTATGTCAAGACCTTTCAAATTATGTATAGTATTGCCAGATACGAGCTCTGTAGCGCTTTGTACATAGCCGCGAAATTCAAAAGACAAAAGGGCGGATATTTGACAACCTTATATTTAGACGTTATAATTATTCATTGATTTTACTTAATATTATGGCTATGTACAGGCGCATGTGTATGTGTACACGTATGTAAAAGAAAAAAATAGCTCGTTAGACCGAAGGGAGGCGGGCGTTCAGCAGCGTTCGTAAATTTAGACTGCTTTTGTCCTCTCCTCCTTACTCTATCTTTCCGCCGGATGCCCTACCCAGAAACGAGCGAGCAGTAATCTCAACTCAGTTCAAGCAGTAAACTTAGCAGACACTTTGAATCAAATTCTGGAGATTCAAAAACCGGGGATGGAATCCTTTCGCTAAGTAATTTTTCTGAGAGATCTAAGCTTCTTTACAGTTTCCTATTTTCTCTCGCTTTCTGCCTAAAGTTGAGTTTTTTTGTACAGATGCTAGAGCTTGGCCTGCGAAACTTGCTAGCGAATCTCACTATTGTTAAGTTTTGTTTGTAAATTTATGGTCTGTCTTTTTAGTATCCCCACTTTTGCCGTAGCCAGCATACGTAGCTTTTTGGATCCTCAATTGTGGGAAAATACTTTTAAGAGATCATCGCCTTAAATGCCGTATTTTATTTTAATTAAATTTATTATGGGGCTCCGTTTCAACGGCTTAAACGGTTGTAGTTTTCTTAAAATTGTATACTAAAAACAACTGCAAATTAATCTAGACATTGTTGCTTCTACTTGGGTGTATAACCAATTAATGATCAAGTATAAATTATTAGGTTTTGTTTGGATTTAAGGTCCTATCAAATTGATTTATGGGTCATAAAACAGCTCTATAAAAAATCAAGAAATATTGGAATATATATTTGAGTTATAAACAGCTATCTATAGTAATCATAGTATCTATAGTAATCACCTTTGAAATCATTTGACTTCTACATTTGATACACACATATCTATAATCTTCAGACAAAATAAAAAACTAAGCTAAGATTTGAATATTGTTTGGTATATTCTATGGATATTAACAAAATTTTTTGTATTCTATGGATTATTTTTTAAAAACTCCGCACTATTAATACTTTTTTCTTTCATATATAAACAATATTAACACGTATATCTATACTTATACACTTTTAAAAATTATTTACATTTCAATTTGCTGCACATCAGAGCAAGGAGGCAGGGATACGAACACTTGTAGCCCTTGATGATCAAGGAGGTGAGTCCACAACTAACAGAACAATATATCACAGTTCTTAACATACAACTGCATTTTTCCCAAATATTATATTATACTAGGTATGACATAACACGAAACAAACTATATTTACATCTGGTTGCAGCGGTAGAACATTTTTCTGTTAAGGCCCAGTACACAGGCAAACAGAAACTGTCCAAAAAGTATATACTAATTCTAATATATTTAGCCATATTTCTTGGTGGACAATATACGTTCCCAGAGGCTAAAACAAAGTGCATAACTATTAAGAACTCAAATGTACATTGGACATGGACATTGTAATTAAAAATTTTTGTTGCAAATTGCTGCAGTTATAATTGCAGTTATGAATTACTAAAACTCATTTTCAGATTTAATTAAATGTAAACAAAACGCGGCTGTCTATCTAGAGTGCTCGATAGCGCAAGAAGTATATATATACTTTATTTAAGTCGGATAATTCGTTGAAGTACATTTGTTTTCCATTTCGTGAGATAAACTTTTATATTGAGTGTCACCAGCTAAAAATTACTGTAAGTCAGTCACGGCTCAGCTTCAGGCGTGTGTTTTATTTGTATCTACATATACCTTCTCTTGCAAAACTTGAGTCCTAGAAATGTGAGTTGAACGGCGATCATTGCTTACACTCTTGGCTGTCGACTTAACCAAGGGCTCACTGAGAGGTGGTTAATTATCTTGTTTTATTAGCTCAAGATATTTCGTAGGGAAAGTTAGTACTACAAACGAATACCAATATACAGTTTCTGTATTTGTAATACCATGCTGGAAAGACAGACGTTATAGATGTAATTAGCTTCTCGTATTCATATACGAATTGTTCAGACGGTCCAAAAGTTATATTTATTGGCCATCTGAAAATTTAATAGCAACATCTGGCATAGATGTTAAGATGTTAAGTTGCTAGTTTTGGAAGGGATAGATTTTTGTATTTTAATTCCGATAAGCGCTGCCGGCATATTCAACCATGACTGCGTTTAAAAAATCATGTATCTTGTGGGTAAAAGGTAGTACTAAGGAAAAGTTTGGAAGTTTAAGCTACTCACTATACTACTCAGTACTTTCAGTACCCCGTACTTTCCTTTTAAAATCCGAAAAACGTACAAATAGTTTTTAATGTTGGGCTTCTGGTGTTGTAGGGTTATGGTAGACCAAATCGTCGACTTCATTTATAAAAAGAGCTAGAAGGACGTAGGACGATTTTAATTTGTTCATCTGCTTTAATTGCTGGAGAAAATAATTCCATTTTACAAAGAATTTTTTTAAGTCCTTTTAGGTAGTCACTTGCGAGAATATTGCTTTTCGCTTCGGTATACTCGTATATTAAAAACATTACTTTAATATATAATCACGTGGCAATGGCTTTACAAAATTATTCTTAAAACTAAGGTTTTCATCGGTGACAGCGGCGCGAGTGGACTTTGGTCAGAAAATTTTGATTAGTTAAAACTGATGAATATGTTTTCAATAAGTTTGAAAAAAGTTTACATGGGTCCATACATACATTCAGTTACAAATCGCAACGTAGGGTTGTTAATTTTTCATAAGCAAAATAAGGTCAACCTCTCCCAAAACAAATGGTAAGAATCTGAAATCTATAGAGTGGGTAACAAGATCGTTTTTTCCAATAGCCTAATATAAGCAAGAAACAGCGCTATAAGCCCAAGGAATTTAAAATTTAAATTAGGTTAGGTAAAACCTTTTATAAGTAGGATTTCCGAAATTAGTTTCTATTCATAAAATTTATGATCTTGCGAAATAAAGGGTTACATTTGACATCCGAATTAGGATATAACTAATGCACAGCAAACAAAATATTTAATAATAATAATTTAATGCACATTTAACCTCCATAGTATGGTATTCCCTCCATTGGTGTTCTCTCAATCAAGATTGCAATTCCTCTGGTGGCCTGACATATTCCTTTACGAAGCTCTTATCATCAACGAGGTCTTTAAACTGGCCCACACCGTCCTACCCGTTGACGCGTTCCCTCAACTGCCTGGAATCGGCGTGGCAATGGTTAGCAGGATCATTGTATGCAAAGGACATTTAATTTTACTATACAGTATGTGGTATTGCAGAGTACAGATACGCAAATAGAGATCGCGATTCTTTGATGATTGCAATATCAACATTATCGATAGCGATCTTCATGCTACTATCAAGTTACAAAAACCTTCTAGAGCTAAATTGAAGTTATACGATCTTTTCAAATGGACAAATCCAACGTAGCCAATTCCAATATATTAAAACAAGCTTATATGAAGCTTTAAGCATTTCGTACCAGAACGGGGCCGCGGCTGTAAAATTCTATCGCCCATATATTCTTTCCAATGGTTTATTACTGTTGTACATCGCGGCTTTTCCCTAATGTAACGATTAGTAATGGATAAACAGTTGTGTTACAATGCAATAAAATGGAAATGGACGCCCGGAAAGTGTCCTGAACACCTGCATGTTCATTGGCAACACCGATGGAGAATAGCTGAAACCCTTGTTTTTTTAAGTTTTGAACATATATAAGCAACCATGTAGTTCTAGCTCATGATTGACGGTACACTGTTGCTGAGCAGTTTTATTGGTAGGGTGTCAGGAAACGTCGAGGATGCCTTTATAAGCGGGCCAAACGCTGGAAACCGGACAGTCATCAATAACCAGAACCTGATTAAACAACATGAGCTAGTAAAATTCTACAGTCGTAAAAGTCAGAAAAGAGCAAGATCATCACGGTGACAAGTTCTGAGCAAAGCAAGTCACTGAATTAAGACAGGTGATGAACACCAAATAATTAAGACAAAGGATGAACGCCGTTGACGCGGCGAGTCCGATAGGGCTTAGGTTGTAGCGTCTTGCGGGACTTGCGGTGACGAAGCAAGAGATAGGACGTTGCGAATAGTACTGCGGATGCTCTAAGAGCCCATCACCTGAGATCTGTGACGTCTCCCTAAGTCACAACAGTTCAACTTATGCGGATGAGGATCTGGCATCAGACAAGAATTTTCAAGTGTACCATGGGAACTAGATATAGATATTGCAATAGCAAACTGCACAGTGTTGTTGCTGGTAAACCGGCGATCACGTTTATATAATTGTGGGATTGGTTTTTGGCTGTTTACCCAAATCCCACTAGTACAAAATAAAGTTACTATAGACAACGACTACATATGAAGTTGAAGGTAGCGAATTACCGAGGTGGCAAATTGGCAAATACAACGTTCAACGAGCAGCAAATGCGCATCGCTACGAGAGCGGGACGACCGGAGAGTGGTTGTTTGCTCGTGGAAGAAGCAAGTTGTGCGTTCTGCCTGCGTGGCTACGGGAGCGGCAACGGTACGAAGAAAAACGGTGAAGACGTAACGTAACTTATATTCAGATAGCCTACATACGAGTATATTATTTGTTTTAAAATACGAATTTTTTTTTTATTACTATTATAATAAAACCCTACATAATTTTGATGGAACAAACACACAAGCAGACCAAACAAAAATCAGGTTCTTACCACTTCACTGGATTACAATCTAGTAGATTCATTTGTTATCCAAATCGATAACAAAACGGTCACGATGTCACCATCAGTACCAGTCCCTGGGCAGTCCCTAGTTTGGTAGAGTGGCCGTGGAAAACCGATATTGAAACCGAACAAAATGAAAAATATCAAAACATTTTTCAAAGGTGTGGGCGTGACAGTTTGGGCTGTTTGTGAGCGGTAGAGTGGGCGTAGCAACATCATTTAACAAACTTGCGCTGCGTCTATGTCTCAACTTGTTTTGCTTTTATAATTCCGTTACATACTTCTCAATGAATCTAGTATACCCATTTACTCTTCGAGTAACGGGTATAAAAATCAGAACATTTTTTAAATGCTTTTATTGCGCTGCATTTCCTACTTTATTCCGGATTCAGGCAGCGGTGAAGATTTGTGTTTTGTTTGCCTGACTGGACTTTCTGCACAAACTCAGTCGACAGTTTGGCTTTCAAATAGAAATGAGATTTATAACTGTGACAACATAGGCAAATAGTTGTTTCGTGCGAAGAGCGTACAGAAGCGCTGCAAGTGAGGTGGACACCTGACTAGGCGCTGGTGGTCTGCTCTGAATATACTCCCCCCGTTGGAAGAGGCACGGTTTCAACTATATGAAAATCGATGGATTGGCTCGAAGTCTGAGGCATAAAAAAGCAGCATGCTCCTTTTGCTCTAGCTAAGAAATCCATACTCTTTAGCTGAGTAAGCCTGTTGGATGTACCGCAGCAGTAGCCCGACTCCCAAGTTGAACTTGTCGATAGCTTCTTATAGGCAAAGATACATTTTCAATCGATTAAACTCTGAAACTAATCAAGGAAGTTTTCAATTGTCAGAAATATGTGCAGAAACGCTTCCCAATAGCGCCGCTTGGAAAGATCCTTCGCTGTATCTTGGCTAGCAGGAGTTTCATTTTGAGAAGCGATGCAGAAGAATTGACAGTCCGGTAGGCAAAAAATAAGCACGACTTCATGTATATAAACGTTCCATTCGATCTTTGAATTTAGCTGTTAATAATAAAATTCTTTCCGGAACTCGACTTAACTGCAAAATACGAAGTAGGTTTTGATCAAAAAATGGATACCAGGATACCAAATGAATATCAATTTTAAACATGTGCATAAGTACGGATAAGAAGATATAAGCAAGCAGATATGTTACAGCTGACTCCTTTAATTCAGTAAGTTGTTGTATACCGATCTTAAATAGCGGGGCTTCTTTCTTGTGTATTAGTCTAGTCTTCTTCCAATTTCTTGAAACAACGATGATTAATCACCAGACAATTTAGTTAATGACTAGGACAAGAGACGATCATCTTATTGATCAGTGTCGCAAGTCTTTAACTAACTGACTGGCTTTGGTGAACTCCCAAAATCACTTTTCTACGGTATCAATTGACTGCGAAGCATTCGTTGCGAGCCAACGCGTTTTCTATTTCAATATGCCTCTTCTAACT